GTCGACCGTACGACATGCTGGATGCTGCTCTCTCAGACACCATCCAGACATTCCCTATGAGCATTCAGGTACGAAGAGATGTCTTGCTGGATAAATGTTAACTGCCTCCGCGCGTCGAATTTGAATGCATGCACGAAACCATGTACGCAGCTCCGCAATTCGAACGTTTATTCCCGTATCCCCCATCAATGTCTTTCCAGCCCTACAGGGACATGGTCGATGGCATGCGGATGGACCTGAGGAAGTCCCGTTACCGCACGTTCGACGAGCTCTACGTGTACTGCTACAATGTGGCCGGCACTGTGGGCCTCATGAGCGTTCCTGTCATGGGAATCGACCCCAAGTCTAAAGCGCCTGTAGAAGATGTGTACAAGGCTGCTCTGGACCTTGGAATTGCCAATCAGCTCACAAACATCTTGAGAGATGTTGGAGAAGAGTAAGTGGTGGTCTGACTTTCGTCACCTTTTCACCTCCAGCTTCTTTTTCAGCTCCGTGTACCATTTATCTTCGTTTGCAAGGTAGATACTTTCCGAATTCATCGCCAGAATTTCATCAGCATGTAAAACGTTTGCAGTGCTCCTCTTTTAGTACCCCGAGAGTACCAGTCGAGAATCATTGCCTTGAGTCCATGAGTTAGTGCTTCCTGTGCTTCTGCATTACCCATGCTGGATAAATCCTCATTACCCACGTTTGATGTGAAACCTAGCTTTATTAGGGTCCTTGTTCTTCCCACTTTCCCTCTGCAGTGCTCAGCGGGGCCGTGTGTACCTTCCTCAGGACGAGCTGGCCCAGTTTGGCCTCTCTGACGATGACATCTTTGAGGGCAAGGTGACTGACAACTGGCGCAACTTCATGAAGTTCCAGATTGAGAGGGCTCGCAACTACTTCAAGACAGCAGAAGCAGGCGTGGTTGAGCTTGACAGCCAAAGCAGATGGCCGGTAAGCCTATTTCACTTCCCCTTGTCGTGTTCCATCTTCGCCAGAGTTTCACTAATAGACTGACACTAGAGCACCACTTTGGTTTCACTCCTTCGCCAGAGTGACACTATTAGAGCACCACCTTGTTTCGGTCCCTGCGGTACAAGGCTCAAAATTTCATTTGAGAACTTCCTCTTGTACCCTATTTCAGGTCTGGGCCTCCCTGAGGCTCTATGCTCAAATTCTTGATGCCATTGAAGCCAATGACTATGACAACTTCACCAGAAGGGCTTATGTTTCGAAGTGGAAGAAGATGATGTCACTCCCTGGCACTTACATTGTTGCTGCAAAAGGCCCCCAGTAGTCTGAACAATATATTCGACTGCAATGAGTAATTATCCATTTTTACTAAATTCCTATCTGTCTGGTTTTGCTACTGTTGAATAAATGAGTTGCTATCTTAAATCTTGTAAGAGATTTTTCATGCTGTGAACTTCACAAGTGGGACTAGATGTACACCTCGCCCTCTGTTCTGAGCCGTCAGTCATCCCTGCTATTGGCGCGTATGCATTTCAAAGAAGCGTTTGAAATGTGCTTCTGGAAAAGCATGTGAAATCATGCATCTGTGACCGCGTCAACATTCAGCACAAGACTCTCACATGTTCAGCCAATAACGAGCCTCGTTCTAGCAACAACACACCAGCACAGCATGTGGCTGGCAGACGACTCAGCAGCACCAAGGCCAGGGAGACTGCAGAGAAATGTCGAGTCAGCGAAGCGTTCCGGAACGCCAATCAAAGCGTGGCGACTCTGCACACCTGTTTCAGTGCACCCTTCACCAAATCCCCGCTGGCAGTTGCCCCTCTCCAGCACGTGCTCATTGGTTGGAACGTTGAACGCGGCTTTCTTTCCGGGGAGTGCGCAGGGCAGCGGTAGGCGCAAATTGTACTGCGGAAGCACTGTGGAAGAACACAAGCATCTCCTCGCGTCCACTGGAGAGACCCTGCGGAACGGCAGCAAGAACTGGTCACGGACGGACGCACTAGCGCAGCACAGCTGTACCGCGCGACGCGCGTCCATTACCGGGCGACACGAGAACACATGCCAAGACCTGGAGGAGGCGGAGGCTGGGGCGGAAACACGTACAGAGTGCGCAGGAGACACATTTGGTTTGCCAGGCGAGGGGGAAAGCCAAGCTGGGCACATTTTTTGTACAAATAGAACAGCGGTGCAGCTAGCAAAAGCAGTTGCAAAACAATCTCGCCAAAACACATCTGCTTCCCGCATTCAAAGCCGCATCTGTTGCGAAAGACGCAGTGACACGCGTCTCTCTTGTTTTTTTTTTAAGAATACCTACAGCCATCGTCAGCCTGAGACTTTGAGGCCACTGAGCCAGGACAGGGAGAAGGCGAGCTCATTCGCAGCATATCACAAATCTGGTCCGAATTTCCGTTTTTTCGCGGCATTGAACATTTCATCGTATCGCACCCAAAGACTTACGAAGGACGGAATAACTCACGCTCTTCGGCATGGTTCCTAGCCGTCACATCCGACTTGCGGCGGTGCTGCTTCTCATCGTCGCGGCTAGCAATGTACTTCCCACTCAGGTACTTACTGCTTCCATATTCACTTACATTGTGAGAAAACGTTTTCTTTCTCTCTTTTCCAGACGATTTCACGCAGTTGTACTCAGCCAATCAGAAAATGCCAGGTTATCTTTTCGCCCGTTCTTCCCTATACGAGTAATCAAAGTAACGGTCGGAGAATTCCTGTCCAACAATCTGAGCCCGTGGAGTCCCACAGTAAATCTTTCGCCTCTCGTTTGCATCACACCCGCCCATTCTATGCAGGCAATAAAAGTAACGGTCGGAGGATTCCTTCCCAACCATCTGAGCCCGTGGAGCCCGACAATGAAATTAATCTGGGCGGAACCGCCGCCGGTCTTTCCAGACTTCTTGCTCAGTACGTATTAAGTAGACTTTGGGAGAAACGGTTTTTCCCAAGTGTAGTAGAGCATCGGACCAATAAAAGCATTTTGTTTGGTTTTTTCTTCTCCAAAGGACGGTCCATTTATTCTGTGTTCCTTTCTCCTTCTACTTTGATTTGAGGCCTCTCCATGGGTCTGAGACCAATCGACTGTGCTCTCGTTTTTCGCCTCCCTGCCCTCAAAGCCTCACCATTGCATGTCTCTCCGCTTTTCGCGTGCAGTTTTCCGTTGGGTCAGCCCGGTTCCTCACAGCGTGTATATGATGGAAAGCAAGGCTAAATTCGACAAGTGTGATTTTTCCGGTGCCAAGCTTCTCTTTCCCAACTCTCCTGTCGGCTGGCTCCCGTACTTGACCCCGAAAGGCTGGGAAAACACCACTCAATATTTTTCGAGCAAAATTCCCGGGAACTTCGACTGCAAAATGGGGTTGAAAACCGCGATAAATGTGTATCGGTGGGAGGACGCGGAGGCTGTGATTAAAGCGCGGATGAATGACAGGAGCAAGGATGTGCAGAGGGTGCTTCGAGCGATTAAAAAGGAGCTTTCAAAGCGCAAGGGATCCCCTGGTAGCTCCGTTTAAAACGGTACCACGTTCTGCTCTCGTTCGTACCGGCTTATCAGCTAGACCCAGGCGCGTTACTGTACGGTAGTGTGTTGCTGAGGAGGTTTGCTATCTCCTCTGTAAATAAAGCGTTTTAGATGCTTCTGTGTCTGTAGTTCTGTCCTAATCTACTTATCAATGTGTTCGAGTTCTACACATTGTGATCTCGATGGACGGCGGGGTAGGCATTAGCGCGAATTGCAGGACTGACGTCATCAGCCATTGTCATTGCCACAACAGCATTTAGCTCACCACGTGGACAACGCTCCTTCATCTTTGGCGACAGCGAGGAAATATCTGCATCGCTGGAATCATCCCTGGGTCTCGCAGAACCTTCCTCTGCCAGCGCATTCAGGCTGGGAAGGCCACGTCCAATAACAGAAGCGCAAATTGGCAGGAATTGAGTTTTGAACCAAACCGCAATCGGTGAGAGTGCGCGGGTAACCACACCAAAACCTTCCTGTGTTGTACACAATTATGTAAATGGCTAAATTCCGCCAAGTATTAGCCCCCAATCATGGTTCTTGTTCACCTAATATTTGATGTTTCTGACCGACCGAAACACACCAAGAACATGCTGCCGACAACGTCGGTTCAAAATTCGGTGCTGCGAGTAGACGCGTGTGGTTGGGTGACACTCGTGTTTGCCTGCCAGCCTTCCAGTCAGGCAGCCTATAACCGAAGCGCACAAACCTCCCACAAACCAGCACGCGCAACGCGTTCTGCGTGAAGTTCCCCAGGGTCAAGCTTCTTAACGCGCCGGACCTGAAATCGTCGGTCGAATCATACGCGAGTTTGCTGCCTACACTCAGCGCCCCGCTCTGTTCCAAACCTCAACAGGTCTGCCCAGCGTCGCTTACAGACTAGGTAAAGAGGTTCGTCGTGACAGGCGCTGACGACTTGAGGGGCCAAACTCTGCGGGTCTGGCTCCGAGCCGAAATATAAACTGTGCTGATAACCTCCGTAATATCGTCTACCGCACTCAAAACATTACAAACCGTATGACACCGAGTGAAACAGTGGCACTCGACCCTGCTTCGGAAATAATGGTGTCTGTGGCCTGGGCGAGAAAAAAAGGGGCTCCTGCTAAGTATGGATAGCACCAAACCATGGCGGCGGAGAGCAGACTCCTAGCTTGCTTGTCTCCAGCTTCCTTTAAATACCCGTTTTTGTGCGATGTTGCCTTTCGCGATAGCACAACACCAACAGCAACGAGGCCCGTGATTACAACAGTAACTCCTTCGCGTCTGATTATTCCTCGTGAGAGCGCCAACGTTCTTTCGGGGCTTCACAGCTTGTGAATCCTTCAATCCTTTTAATCGTTGAAGCCGTTCTTATCGTTTCCGAGCCGTTCAGGTCGTTCACCACTCGAGGAGGCGAGCTACCATTTCCTTCAGAAGTCGCTTCAAGCCGTCGTCTCCGAGCTAACTTGAAGATAACTTGGCGCTTCGACGGAGTTCAGCTAGTACTAATCGGGGCGACTTTCGTGCCGCCATGAAACCGACTATGACGAGACGGCTTGCGGCGGGTTATCTGATCGTCGCAATCCTCGCAAGCCTCGTTCTGCAAGGACTGGTCAGTCGTGAAAGATCGATTGCGGAGTCGACTCATATCAGTCAAGCCGCAGAGCTGCTGCACTCTTAAGGCCGCGCGGCTCGCGTTTCCCATCCCCCACCCTCCCTCCCGCTTCCCGCTCCTCCTTTCCCTCCCCATTCTTGTCTCTCTTCTTCCCCCTCCCCATTCGTGTCCCTCCCTCCTTTACCGAGTAAGACTTCAGCGGTTCGAGCGCTAGGGAAGGTGGCGTTGTGAGCGTGTCTTTACCGTTCGCGACAATCATCTACCTGCTCCAAGTCACCCCAGCGGTTCGAGCGCTCCCTCAGCGGTTCGCGCTCTAGGGAAGGCGGCGTTATGGGTGACCATTTCCCAAATTCAAAATCCAGCGGTCCGAGCTGGGAAGGTCGAAATCACCCCATCAGTTCGCGCGTGGAGGGGGAGGTGACGTTGGGGGTGGGTCCCTGCCGTGCGCGACCATCAACCCCCCACCCGCGCTCTCTCTCCGCTTTCCCCCCCGCGGCCGCACTGCGCGCTGCAGGAAGGGAGCTCCAATAGACTCCAGCGGTTCGCGCGCCGGGGGAGCCTCTGGAGATATCGTTGGGGGCGGGCCTCTGCCGTGCGCGACACTCCCCCCGCACCGCGCTTTCCCCTCCGCTTTCCCCCTCCCCCATACCGCACGCTGCGCGGAGAGGGGTACTGTCCACCCCAACGGTTGTAGCGCCGGGGAGCCTGACGGCGGGGGCGTGCCCCTGCTGCCCGCGCTCCTTTTCCCCCTCCCCCACTCCGCACGCTGCGCGGAGGGGGGTTACTTTCGACCGCAACGGTAGTCGCGCCGGGGAGGCTGACGGTGGGCGTGTGTCTCTGCGTGCGCGCTTTCGAGACGACAATAAACACGTGCTGCTGTCGTGATTTTTTAGGCGCCTCAAAAATCGGCTATCGAGTCGACTTACAACACGTGCTGCTGTCGTGCACGGTGACAGTCCGGGGAGAGTGCTGCCTTCGTACCACATTCCCACTCCCTGCTTCGTATCTCAACCCTCCCTCTCCCTCTGTTCCCCTCCCAGGCAGCTCCAGGAGATCCCAGGGGTGCGGACATACAAGGTGACTGTGGGGGGCGTGCTGCTGCTGATAGCCTCACCCCTCTGTCCCCTCACACCTTGGCAGGCTGCACGGAGGGTCCTTCAGGAGATCCCAAGGGTGCGAACGTACAAGGTGATGGTAGGGGGAGTGCTGCTTGCTCTCGCGACTCAAATCCCCCACCTCTTTTCCCCTCTGCCCCATATCACACCAGGCTGCACGAAGGGATCTGCAAGAAATCCCGGGAGTGCGAACGTACAAGGTGACGGTGGGGGGAGTGCTGCCATACCACATCCGCCCGTGGCACCGCGGTGTGCAGTGGGACTGGACGCCCCCCAAGCTATACCCTCAATATGTTCTGCGTAAGTGTACAAGTTGGGTTGGTTAACAGAGTGAGTGTATGGAGTACGCTTAAAACGCGTACAGGGAGTGCTGCCGTACCATGTCCGCCCATGGCACCGCGGTGTGCGGTGGGACTGGACGCCGGCCAAGCTGTACCCTCATTACGTCTTGCGTAAGTGTGCAAGTTGACTTATGGCGGATTGCATGTGTGGAGTGTGCTTAAAACGCGGACAGGGGAGTCAGGTCACTCGCCCGTGGCATCACAGGGTGCAGTGGGACGGGACGGGCTCCACCCAAGCTGTACCCATTACGTGCTCTGTGAGCCCTCCGACTCACGATGTGCGCCTCTTTGAATGCAAAGCCAAATGGAGAAGCTGTGATTGCTCCGGCTCAAGACTCCAACCTTCCCTCAACCGCCGCAATCCCCCATCCCTACCTCCCCCCCCCCCACACCCATTTCTTCCTCCCCTACAATGTTCCGTTGGGTGAGCCCTCTCACTCATGACGTGCGCCTCTTTTGAGTCCGAAGCCAAGTTTAACACCTGCGATTTCTCCGGCTCAAAACTCATCTCCCTTCCTTCCCCCTCCCTCCTCTGCAGTTTTCCGTTGGGTGAGCCCTATCACTCACGACGTGCGTCTCTTTGAATCCGAAGCCAAGTATAAAGCCTGCGATTTCTCCGGCTCAAAACTCATCTTCCCTTACTCGCCAGTCGGATGGATGCTGTATTGGATCAAACCAGACATGGTCGGAACATCAATCTACTTCGGGAGCAGCTTTATCGGCGATTGCAAGGCAGGATTGAAGGTTAAGTTTACTGTCTATCCGTATGGTAAATCCAAGAAGGGTCTAGACAGAAAGAACGCTAACATGACTAGCAACAGCACCCCTACTGCTGTGGGAGGAGGGGCCTGAAAGTAAGGTCCCCATGCCATGGGAGTTGTGAAGGGAGTGTGATGGGACTGGTTAATGGTAGGGGTTTTTTTCTGCTGTGGGACTGGTGCAGAATAAGCAGAGTATGTGGAGGAGTGATGGGAGTGATGGGAGTGATGGGAGTGATGGGAGTGATGGGAGTGGGGGGAGTGGGGGGAGTGGGGGGAGTGATGGGACTGGTGCTAAGGGGAGGGGTTTCTTTCTGCTGTGGCACTGGTGCAGATTGAGCAGAGTGTGTGTGGAGTAGGAAAGGCTATTCTGTCAGGCGTTACATTGTGCCTATGATGCATGATGTAGAGTGTCCATATGGCGTATATAAGCCATTTGCCTAATACGTACCGTACATGTACGTGCTATGATCAGCATCGGTATTTATTTATCCTCTGTGCGTGAAACTGAACATAACAAGCAAGAGGGGACCTGATCAGGAATAACATGCTTCAGGCAAAGCAATACAAAAGCAAGAGACGGAGCAAGAGAATCTGTAGCTGCACCGCAGCCCTAGCAGGGGCAACTGACATCACACTCAAAATGCATTCTAATTTCTATACTTGCCATTCTTATGCAGCCACCACCACAATGCCACCAAGAACCGTACCATACCTCTTGCCTGCCCGTGAGTCATCAATATGTAGCCCCAACACCAGCAGTTGTAGCACCAGTGGCTTAACACACCCTAAACAAACGCATTAGTTTCTATATCTGTTCACTCTATGCAGCCACCCCACACGCCACCACGGAATGTACCCCTTGCCTGCCCATGCCTCTTCAATTTGTAGTCGGATCAGCAGCTGTAGCACGGGTAACTTGACTTCATACACTTAAAAAGGACCACTAGGTTTTATATTTGCCCACTCTATGCAGCCAACCCACACGCCACCACGGAATGTACCCCTTGCCTGCCCGCACCTTGTCAATCTGTAACCCCACCAGCAGCAGCTGTAGCATGGGTAACTTGGACTCGTACACCCAAGAACCGCATTATGGCTTATACTTGCCCACTCTGTGCAGCCAACCAACACGCCACCAAAGAATGTACCCTTTGCCTGACTGCGCCTCGTCAATCTGTAGCCGCATAAGCAGCAGTTGTAGCATGGGTAACTTGGCTTCATACACTCCAAAACCGCATTATGTCTCATACTTTCCCGCTCCGTGCAGCCAACCCACACGCCACCAAAGAATGTACCCTTTGCCTGGCTGCGCCTCGTCAATCTGTAGCCGCATAAGCAGCAGTTGTAGCACGGGTAACTTGGCTTCATACACTCCACAACCGCATCATGTCTTATACTTGCCCACTCTGTGCAGCCACCCCACACGCCACCACGGAATGTACCCCTTGGCTGCCCGCGCCTCGTCAATCTGTAGCCGCACCAGCAGCTGTAGCACGGGCAGCGTGTTGTTAAATTTCTCCCCTTGCTCGTGCAAAAGGCACGGGAAACCCCCCGTGTGTCTGTTGCGCAGCCCCAGGTGCAGCGCGGATGGCCACGCGGGGAGGGGCGAACGGGGAAGAATCGGGGGAAAGGGCTGCGCTTGCCTGCTGCCGCCGCCGCTGGTACTGGCAAGGCCGTTCCTCTCCTCCCCTTCTTGCTGCTGCAGCCGTTGAATATCCCTCAAGTCAACGACCTCGTAATCCTCATCGTTGGTTCCTAGAAGGTTCTGAACCAAGCCGTTCATGTGATCTAGAACGATCACGGGCCGCGCCGCGAGTCGCGCCTCCATAGTCTTCACCACGCGCCGCCACTTCCAGATTTTATCTTCGAACCGCCATTCGCGCCGCAGACGCCGCCGCAAACTGATCTGCTGCTCGTACTCCCATTTGGATATGAACGGCAGCAGCTGCGTTTGGTTTAGGAACAACCGAGTGTACTCCCGCTGATCGTCAAACCAATTAACGGGGTTCGCTAAAGCGGCTTTAAGCGCCACAGTGACCGCCCATGCGTATCCTACATACGTCCCTGCGTTGAGGTACTTAAACTGCGTGTTTACCGCCGCCGCTTCCGGCGGGAGCGGCGGGTACTTATCCTCGACTCTATCCGGGAAACAGTACGGCTCTGCCCCGAAAACGATCGGCGCGTTGAAACTCAGAAACGCCGAGATGATACGGTCCGCGGTACAGGACGGCACGGGCGTTACATCCAGCGCGTCTGTCGCGATGACGATGCGGTCGGGCGGCAAGCTTTGGACGTACTCGAGCACGGCTACCAGACGGGGACGGAATCCGTTCCACGGTTGATGCAACCCGACAACTGCGAGCGGCAGGTCAATCATGCTGGTGACGTCAGCGAGGCGATTAAGTCCCACGGCGGAAAAGGTGGAGTACGTAACCCACTCCGACTTGCAGTTCTTCCCGCGCTCGCGCCGCGGAATTCCCGAAGCGCGCGTCCACGTGGGCGGGTATGTGGACGGATTCTGGTCGTCAAAGTCAACGCCGCTGGGGTCATTTGCCTCGTAATCCACTGGCGACCTTTTCGCGCGTCTCCGGGATTGTAGGAGCTTTCTTCCACGCGGAGCCGACTCGTCACCGTTAATTCCGTCATCCCCGCCGATGTTTCCGCCACCGTCGCTACCCCCGCTGCTGTCGGTGAACCACTCCCACGCTTCTTCGCATCCGTCGCGTGGCGGCTCGTGCTCTTCAATCTCCTCGTCGACAGCTGCCGTGTCGCTGCTTTTCGAAGGCTGATTTGCCGCCCTTGCCGCCGCAAGTCCCGCTTCCGTCCTTTTTGCAGCTGCCTCCGCGGAAGCCGAGGGGTCTATCGGGCAGAAGAAATATTTCGATCGGGAGATGTACAGGATTGCGGTGTTGTTACACGGCGCCTTTTCGATTTCGTCGTAAAACTCTTTGATTTGCTCTTGCACCTCGTAGTACTCACGTGTGCCGAACATGCACAGCAGGGCCAGTGTGACTATAATGAAGGCGATTTTGAGAATGGGGTAAGCGTAACCAGAAGAATCCACTGCCATTTTCCGGAGCCTTGACGATGGGCTGAGAAGCTGGAGGGACTTATCCGCTGGGGTCATTGTACAAATTCTGTGGCTTGCAATATTGGATTGAATCCCACTATGCCTGAAAGGAAACCAGAAGAGCTCGAAGAGCCAAGTTCAAGGACACGTCACTTCTGGGGCATTTTCTGTCTCGAGAAGGTGCTATCTGCTCCCTCTTACTGTGTGCTTCTTGGAATGCTCAGGCTGTTGTGCAAGAAATATGAGTGAGCTGGAAGGAATGGAGTCGAGTTGAGAGTCTGAACTGAACTGAAGACTCCAATTGACGGGTATTTTATAGTATTGGCTGGAGGAGGCCGGCGATTTGTCCAATTTCCGTAAAGCCATTTCTGCGGAGAACCGACGGATCATCGATCGATCTTGGAGGAATTCGTCGATGGACCGTCGATTGACACTCGGGTGGAGCAGATGAGTCATACGACCTGCGAAACTCCATTTCGCACTCGGCAAAGTCTGCCAATTTGCTGAGCTGCCTTGTCGAGGCGTGCGGTTACTCAGCAGCATCGCGTAGTGCGATGCGACTCGTGTCGTTGCGCAAATTGTTAACAGCACATAGTAGTACACGTGTATTCTGCAGAGTGGACATCGCTGTGAAGGGCGCGTGGCTGCATTCGTTACAAGGTTTGCAGCACATTCTGGACTTCGAGCGTGTGTCTCGGCCACCACATCCCTGGAATTCCGCAACCGCAGAAGAAAATTCTACAACTTCCGCGATAAATGCGATGTCGGTTGCACTGTCAAAAGACTGCGAAACAGTGAATCCGAACATATTCCATACCCATCAAATATACTAAAAATGGAAACTCATTTCTCAGAGCCATCGCACAAATCACATGTAATGGCCCCAGTACCGTTGCAATAGAGGCAACAAGCACCTTCCTCCACCCAATCGAGAAACTGCACGGAATACGAGGAAGGGGAGAAAAGTAAAGGAAGTACAACTAAACATTGGCCAATTGATGTTTAAAGAGGTCACACGCCCCCATATGACGAGATAAGCTCTTCCAGGCCGGAATTTACACAAGAGGGCAGAAATCAAAAGCAAATAAACGTATGAAAAAAATGTTGGGAGTGCTTCACATAAGTGGACGCCCCTGGTTCCCCGACGCTCTCCTAAACCATCGGAGGGATGTGGGTTTACCGTACCTGTTTCCTCGATGTTAAGGTCCCTCGTGCCCTGACACTCTGCAATGGGAAGGATTTTGAGTCGACTGTTCTATTGACTCACAAATCGCTTACCTGTTGACTTTTGAGTCGCTCAAAAGTCACCTCTGTTCTATCGACTCACAAATCACTTACCTGTTCTTCGATGTTGAGATCCCCCGTGCCCTCACACTCTGCAAAGGGGCGTGACAAGGGGGAAGGTTGGGGGGGAAAAGGGGGGCGTGGGGTGAAGGAGAGGCGGGATGTGGTGTTACCTGTTCCTCGATGTTAAAATCCCCAGTGCCCTCACACTCGGAAAAGGGAAGCGACAAGGGAGTGCAAGGGAGGGGAAATGGGCAAGGAGGGAAGGAAGGTGGGTGAGAATCATTGATGTGGGTGGGGTCACCTGTTCCCCCATGTTAAGGTCCCCCCAGTGCCCTCAAACTCTGCACAGGGAAGCAACAAGGGAGTGCAAGGTATAAATACAGGGGCGAGAGATCAAGGAAAGGCAAGAGGGAGTTGGCAAGGGGGAGTGATGTAAGCTGTTCCTCTAATGTTAAGACCCCCAATGCCCTCACACTCTGCCAAGGAGAAAACGAGGGGGGAAGGTTGGGGGGAAAAAAGGGGAGTGGGGTTAAGGAGAGGAGGGATGTGGGTATACCTGTTCCTCGATGTTAAGATCCCCAGTGCTTTCACATTCTGCCAAGGAAAATGACAAGTTCAGGGAAAGGAGTTAAGGTTGAGGGATTTGAGACGTCTCGATAGTCTGTCAAGGTCCCACCCAGTGCCCTCACACTCTGCAAACGGAAAAGGAAAAGGGAGTGCACGGTATAAGAAGAGGATAGAAGGGGCAAGGGGGAGTGGGCAAGGGGGAGTGGGCAAGGGGGAGTGGGCAAGGGGGAGTGGGCAAGGGGGAGTGGGCAAGGGGGGGTTGGCAAGTACGCAATCAAGAAACAGTTCACTCTCCCCCTTGCCCCTTATCAATCAAGGACGTATATAGAATGTTCTTGTATGAACATCCAGGACTCTCCTAAAGCATCCACACTACACACACACCAACCAAACGCACCCATGCAAACAATGTTACCCTCCCCTCTGCACTGGTAGCACGAGACAACAACAGGCTTCAACTCCCCCTCCCCTCAAGTACCCTCACGCACATTCATGCCTCAAACAACACACACAAGCACGAAACACACATATCAACCCACACACACCAACGCACATAAAATGCAAACAACACATGCTCGCATGAGACACACATAAGCCTCAAACAGGGGAGTGAAAAGGGAGTGCAACGTTCAACCCCTCCTCCCCTCCCCTCAAGCACCCACACACATAAACTGCAAACAACACATGCTCGCATGACACACACACATGTCAACCCAAGCTCATCAACTCACCCTTGCAAACAACGCTGCCTTCCCCTCTGCCTTCCCCCAAGCACGAGACAACAACAGGCTTCAACCAATTCTGGGCCCAAGAGCATATGCCTCTAACACCCACACACAAGTGACACAGACACACACGCGCGTGCACATACATCAGCCCACACACACCGACGTGGTGACTTTTGAGTCGACTCAAAAGCCACCGCGCGTGCACATACATCAACCCACACACACCGACGTACCCATGCAAACCACGCTGCCTTCCCCTCTGCACTGATAGCACGAGACAACAACAGGCTTCAACCCCCCTTCTCCACCCTTCTTCCCCTTCTTCCCCTTCCCCTTCCCCTTAACATCCACCAAATCCCTCCCTCCTCTCCCCTTCCCCTTCCCCTCCACGTCCCCCTTCTCCTCCTCCCCCTCCTCTCCGCCCTCCTCCTTCCCCTCCTCCTCCTCCCTGCCTCGACCAATCAATGTGTTCGGGTCCTCCCAGCGATTCTCCCCTAGAAGAAACACCCGCCTCTGCCCCATCTCTAGATCACTCCTAGCGTATCTCTCTATCTCTCGCTTCTCCCGGGTGGCAGGGGGGGCGCGGGGGGACGCTGACTCTGCGGAGGGTGCTGAGGAGGAGGGCTTGGTTGAAGGCTTTGTGGGAAGTTCGGGAGCAGGTTCGGGGGTCGGTTTGGTCGCTGGTTCGGCGACAGATTCGGGATAGCCAACGAGGAGAGCGAAGAGAGCCGGTGTGACAATTCCGTCTTCTTGAAGCTTCATAGTTGCCTAAAGGGAGACAGTAGCAGTATGGGGAGAGGAAGGGAGACGAGGTGGGAAGGGGGAAAGGGGGAAAGGTGTAAGAGAGAGAGAAAAGGCCTGGTGTGTTGATACCATCTTCTTGAAGCTGCATGGTTACCTGAAGGGAGACAGCAGCAGTATGGGGGAGAGGAAGGGAGAGGGGGAGAGGCTATGCCTTCATGGAGAGTATAGAGGCCTGGTGTGCTGATACCATCTCCCTGAAGCTGCATGGTTCTTGAAAATTCTCAGAAAGGAGGAGAGGGAAGAAGAAAGGAGGAGGGGGAACTTCTGAGTCGAATCATATGGAGAGACAAGAGGCCGGGTGTGACAATTCCGCCTTCTTGAAGCAGCATGGTTGTCTGAAGGGAGACAGTAGAAGAATGGGGAGTGAAAGTGCAGAAGGATAGGGGGATAAGGGGATAAGGGGTAGAAGGGCTGTGGTGTGACAATGCCATCTTGCTGAAGCTGACTTTTGAGTCGACTCAAAAGTCATGGGGAGTGAAAGTGGAGAAGGGGATAACGGGATAAGGGGATAAGGGGTAGGAGGGCTGTGGTGTGACGATGCCATCTTGCTGAAGCTGCCTGGCTGCCTGGAGATGGGAGCCGTATGGGGGAGAGGAGGAGAAGAGGGGGAAGAGGGGAAGTAGATTGGGGAGAGGGGAGGCTAGGCTTTCATGAGGAGAGAGAAGAGGTCCGGTAAGACAATGCCATCTTGCTGAAGCTTCATGGCTGCCAGGAGATGGGAGCAGCGCATGGGGGGGAAGGTGGGGGAGAGATATTGTTGGGGGGGGGAGGAAAAGGGAAGGAGGTGGTGTGATAATGCCGTCTTAGCTCAGTGGGAGTGAAGGAAGGAGAGTGGGCCAGAATGTGCGTTGAGTCAACTCAAAGGTTACCTTTAGGAGCGAGGAATGGAAGGAGGAGAGTCGCAGCGGGGAGTTGCCCGTGCGGTTCATGAAGGCTTACTCTTCTTGATGAGCCTGAACCTCACAGGGTGCCATCAAAGCTCACCCACCCCATCAAGACCCGTGAGTTTCATCAAGACGGAACCCAGGCGAGCCTTACGAGTGGGAGTGACGGAAGGAGCGAGGCAGAAAGTGCTTTGAGTCGACTCAAAGGTTACCTTTAGGAGCGAGTAATGGAAGGAGGAGAGTCGCAGCGGGGAGTTGCCCGTGCGGTCCATCAAGACAGAACTCACGCGAGCCTTGTGTAAAAGGAAGAGATGGAGTGAAGGAGTGAAGGAAGGAGTGAGGCAGAAAAGAGGGAAACGCGGTGGCAGTCAAAGAGTTCTAAGGCACCTCACAGGTTGAGTGAAGGAGGGAGTGAAAAAGGGAGTGAAGGAGGGAGTGAAGGAGGGAGTGAAGGAGGGAGTGAAGGAGGGAGGGAGTGAAGGAGGGAGTGAAGGAGGGAGTGAAGGAGGGAGTGAAGGAGGGAGTGTAGGAGGGAGTGAAGGAGGGAGTGAAGGAGGGAGCGAAGGAGGGAGCGAAGGAGGGAGTGAAGGAGGGAGTGAAGGAGGGAGTGAAGGAGGGAGTGAAGGAGGGAGTGAAGGAGGGAGTGAAGGAGGGAGTGAAGGAGGGAGTGAAGGAGGGAGTGAAGGAGGGAGTGAAGGAGGGAGTGAAGGAGGGAGTGAAGGAGGGAGTGAAGAAGGGAGTGAAGGAGGGAGTGAAGGAGGGAGTGAAGGAGGGAGTGAAGGAGGGAGTGAAGGAGGGAGTGAAGGAGGGAGTGAAGGAGGGAGTGAAGGAGGGAGTGAAGGAGGGAGTGCAGGAGGGAGTGAAGGAGGGAGTGAAGGAGGGAGTGAAGGAGGGAGTGAAGGAGGGAGTGAAGGAGGGAGTGAAGGAGGGAGTGAAGGAGGGAGTGCAGGAGGGAGTGAAGGAGGGAGTGAAGGAGGGAGTGAAGGAGGGAGTGAAGGAGGGAGTGAAGGAGGGAGTGAAGGAGGGAGTGAAGGAGGGAGTGAAGGAGGGAGTGAAGGAGGGAGTGAAGGAGGGAGTGAAGGAGGGAGTGAAGGAGGGAGTGAGCCAGAGTCGAGGGAAAGGCGGTAGCACCCAAGACCAGAAGCAGGCAAGGAGGAAGCACAAAAAGGTGTGGCAATCCCTTTCTTACCTGCCGTGGCACTCCCTTACCTGCTGTGGCACTCCCTTACCTGCTGTGGCACTCCCTTACCTGCTGTGGCACTCCCTTACCTGCTGTGGCACTCCCTTACCTGCCGTGGCACTCCCTTAACTGCCGTGGCACTCCCTTACCTGCTGTGGCACTCCCTTACCTGCCGTGGCACTCCCTTACCTGCTGTGGCACTCCCTTACCTGCTGTGGCACTCCCTTACCTGCTGTGGCACTCCCTTACCTGCCGTGGCACTCCCTTACCTGCCGTGGCACTCCCTTACCTGCTGTGGCACTGCCTTACCTGCCGTGGCACTCCCTTACCTGCCGTGGCACTCCCTTACCTGCCGTGGCACTCCCTTACCTGCCTACCTCCCTTACCTGCCTACCTGCCATGAGTCCTATCACTCCCTCACCTGCCACGTCTTGACAGCACTCTCAGTGTTGGCGCCAAAAAACTCATCCTCCTCGTCCTCCTCCCCACAGTAGAACCCCTGGCGGGCCAAAGCAGCCTGCGAGCGCATGGTTTCACACAAGAACACACACAGTGAGTGAGAGAGCAAACCAAAGGACCCATCCTCCTCCTCCTCCTCCTCCTCCTCCTCCTCCTCCTCCTCCTCCTCCTCCTGCTCCTCCTCCTCCTCCTCCTCCTCCTCCTCCTCCTCCTCCTCCTCCTCCTCCTCCTCCTCCTCCTCCTCCTCCTCCTCCTCCTCCTCCTCCCCACACTTGAACCCCTGAATGGCCAACGCAGCCTGCAGGCACATGGTTTCATATAAGAACACACACAAGGAGTGAGGGAGCAAACCAAAGGACGCATCCTCCTCCTCCTCCCCACAGTAGAACCCCTGAATGGCCAACGCAGCCTGCAGGCACACACGAACATGCGAAACGCGTCTCGTGGTTTTGTGATCATCTATGCATATAATATGTCTCTTCTTAAGTGAGGGACCCAGAGGACGCATCCCCCTCCTCTTCTTCCTCCCCACAGTAGAACCCTTGACGGGCCAATGCAGCCTGCAGGCACACACACAGCGTCACATAGAACCCCTGCCATGCGAATGCAGCCTGCAGGCACATGGTTTCATACAAGAACACACACAAGCAGTGAGAGTGAGAGAGCAAACGATGCGTCCTCCTCCTCGTCCTCCTCCCCGCAGTAGAACCCCTGGCTTCCTCCAACAATGACAGCCTACCAGTAGTTTCTGCAGGTCCTCTCCATACGCTCCCCAATTCACACTGCAACATTTAGCCAATAATATATATATATATATATATATGTATGTATATTTATGTCTCACTTATGTAATGTATGAATGACATATTCCAAACATCACTGTACCTGCAGTTGAGCCACGTCATCTCCATACAGCCCCCGATTCAGCTTCCGCTGAACCTTTCTCGCGCCTTCCTCCTGTTTCCCTGCGCCCCCTGCCACGTCAGCGCCGCCCTCGTCCACGTCAGCAGGGAGCGGGTTCACTGTGCGCGACGCCACAGCCGCGATGATGTCAGCATCGGGAACGTTCCTCAAAATTTCCTCTGCAGTTGCTCCTGCAACACCAGCCGTAGATCTAACACCATCAACGGCTGTAGCTCCTCCAGCTGTAGCACTACCCGTAGATGAAGCCGTTGGCCCCAACAGCTGTAGCAGGCTCTCCGCACCTGCGCCAGCAATCACTCCTGATGACGTGGGAATTGCTGCTGACGTGGCTACCTCGCTGGCTCGGTGGCTATCCGTAGTTATCTGTAGCAGGTGCGTTAGTCCCCGCAGCAGCACCAGCAGCTGCTGCTTCGATAGATCACTCCCCACTCCCCCGGCTCCCCCTAATCCTCCGCCTATTTCCCCGCCTACCGCTTCCGCCAGCTGCGCCTGCGCCTGGGGGAGGAGGGGGGTGGGGCTCTGCGCCAGCCCCCCTCCCCCCGCGCTTGTGAGCGCGGCGCGGAGAGATTCCACTTCCGCTTCGAGCGCCGCGATCTCCGCTTCGAGGGAAGCGCGCTCGCGCGCCCACCGCGCTTCCTCGCGCTCCCACCGCAGCTCTTCCCGCTCCCACCGCTGCTGCTCGCGCTCCCAGCGCCTCTCCTCGCGCTCCCACCATTCCGTCACGTCGTCCCCTCCGCTTCCGCCGCCGCCTCCGCCGCCGCCGCCGCGGATGGCGGAAACCATAACAGCCTTCCTTGAGGAGACTGTTCCGCGCGAGGCTGCAATTCCGCGGAATGCTTTCCGCTCCGCGAGCGACCGGCGCAGGGTGAATTGCCGGCTGGAAAGGCTCTCGCTGTAGCCCGGGCGGCCCAGTTGGGGGGTGTAGGGCTGTAGCCGCGCGGATGTAGCACCACGAGCGGATATCATGGAAGAATGGCGGGAATCCGCGCGCGAAACCACCGCGACGGTGCGACTGTGGCTGAATGTGATTATAGAGCTAGCGGCGGCGGAAATAGCTGACGCCATTTGGCAGGTAATAGCACCCTGACCTTGGAACGATTCAGTCTGTTCCAGTGACAATGCAGCCTGTTTCGGAGCCCGGCTTTCGCGGAAGAAGAAACCTCTCGAGGGTGGAACAACTGGAACGAATGGTCTAGGCTAGAAAGCCAGAATGGATCTGGAATTTTGATCAGGAAAATATCGAGAGCGAGAAACTATCTCCTAGGTTTTATACTCGATTGCAACAACCTCGTTCTCAGTTCTGTGATTTTTTTTTCTATTTATACCATCTCGAGTTGGTTGGAAGTACACGCGCTTTTTCCTGGTGACCGTTGGGGTTGGGGACCAGTGGTTTTCAGCTAAACTGATCAGAGTTGCGGCAACGGTTGTCCCAGACGTCAGCAGTCAGGCTTTTTCAAATTCGTGCATTTTAGGCTGCCCTGAATTCGGAAACATGCGGTGTTTTCCACGCATTTGGGGGTATCGCTCCATCCTATGTCTCCGTCCTTGCGTCGGCGGAGCACTGCATCAGAGCGGTTCAGTCTGAACTTTAGGGGGGTCTCTAAGTGTGAACAAGAAACTCCGTTTTGCTTGAAAAGCGTGATTAAAAAAATCGACTTCTGAAATTTCTGAAATTGCCATTGAATCCTTCAGCATAGCTCAACAACCTAAGGCTGTCAGACTTGTGTCAGCCGACGAGGCTTCTAGAGTTGTAGTGGATTTGAGCGGATGAAATACCTGAAAGAGCACTGGAAAGTCTCAGGGCGTTCAGATCCCATAAGATTCCCGTTCTTTCATAGTCATCCATGAGACTCCCGTTCTTTTCATGCTCAAATTATTCTGCTAGACAAGCCAGACAAGCAAAGTCTTGAGTAGATATCCTCCTGCCATCGTTCATCATGACCTGCTAAATATGTCGGTGTCTTGAGTTCAGCTATCAAGATTGGGAACGAGCCGTTCTAGCTAGACTTTATTTCGAACGTTTGTGTAGACGACAAAGTCCAGGTTCAAAATGTATTAGTAGGATACTCTGGCCAAGGGTTAGTGCATCAAAGAAGCCAGACGTCACCGAAAAGGTCGAATAGCGGCGGGCGAACTTAGAGAACAAGCGAACGGTCGCACGTCGACTGCCTCGGACTCGCACACTTATCGCACAGTCGCGAAGTAGCCGCACAGCAGTCGCACAGCAGTCGCACAGCGATCGAGCGACATGGCGAACCTGGGATTCTTCAAGGAGGTGATGGCGGAGGCTGTAGACAGGGCGAAGGGCGCCGTGGTGGAGAAGACGCAGGCGGCTGTGGGGAAGGCGAGGGAGATGGTGGGACTGGTGGATGCCTCGGCGGAACCCTCGGCGCCTCCCCCGGAACCCTCCATTCTGGACGAACTGAACCAGTACTGCTCATTGACGCTGAAACAGGTGCGTTCCTTCTCTCCTGTTGGTTGTCTGGTAGGAAAGCGGGGAAGGGGGGAAGAACGCCAGCGGAAAGGCAGGGGGGAAGGCCGCGGGGAAGGCTGTGGGGAAGGCGAGGGAGATGGTGGGACTGGTGGATTCCTCGGCGGAACCCTCGGCGCCTCCCCCGGAGCCGTCTATTCTGGACGAGCTGAACCAGTACTGCTCGCTCACGCTGAAGCAGGTGCGTCCCTTGGCTCTCGTTCAAGGCCCCTTGAATTCGACCTGAGCTTGAGCCTTCTAGTCGGGTCGAGGGTCACCTGGGTGAAGCGGTAGACAGGGCGAAGGGCGCCGTGGTGGAAAAAACGCAGGCGGCTGTGGGAAAGGCGAGGGAGATGGTGGGACTGGTGGATTCCGCGGCGGAACCCTCGGCGCCTCCCCCGGAGCCGTCTATTCTGGACGAGCTGAACCAGTACTGCTCGCTCACGCTGAAGCAGGTGCGTCCCTCGGCTCTCGTTCAAGGCCCCTTGAATTCGGCCTGAGCTTGAGCCTTCTAGTCGGGTCGAGGGTCACCTGGGTGAAGCGGTAGACAGGGCGAAGGGCGCCGTGGTGGAAAAAACGCAGGCGGCTGTGGGAAAGGCGAGGGAGATGGTGGGACTGGTAAATGCCTCGGCGGAACCCTCGGCGCCTCCCCCGGAGCCGTCGATTCTAGACGAGTTGAACCAGTAGTGCTCGCTCACGCTGAAGCAGGTGCGTTCCTTTCACTCTTACCAAGGCCCTTCAGTTCAGCCTCTCCCGGAGCCGTCGATTCTGGACGAGTTGAACCAGCGCTGCTCGCTCACGCAGAAGCAGGTGAGTTTCTCTGCTCCTGTTTGAGGCCCTTCAGTTCGGCCTGAGCTGTGAGCGTTCGAGTCGGGTCGAGAGTTGCCTTGTTGAAGCCGGTGTGAGAGAGGGGAACGCGGTGGTGGGCAGGGGCTGTGGGATTGGTGTTGGAGGACATTATGACCATTACCCCTTTATTTTGGGGTAATGGTTGTGTTCTTAAGAGGATTGAGGGGAATGCGAGGGAGATGGTCGGACTGGTGGATGGCTCGGAACCCTTTTTTTAGGCGCCTCAAATTCTGATTTTTGGGCGCCTCGAGAAGAGGAGGACACGGTGGTGGACAGGGTGGTGGACACGGTGGTGGACACGGTGGAGGACACGGTGGTGGCCACGGTGGTGGCCACGGTGGTGGCCACGGTGGTGGCCACGGTGGTGGCCACGGTGGTGGCCACGGTGGTGGCCACGGTGGTGGCCACGGTGGTGGCCACGGTGGTGGCCACGGTGGTGGCCACGGTGGTGGCCACGGTGGTGGCCACGGTGGTGGCCACGGTGGTGGCCACGGTGGTGGCCACGGTGGTGGACACGGTGGTGGCCACGGTGGTGGCCACGGTGGTGGCCACGGTGGTGGCCACGGTGGTGGACACTGTGGTGGACACGGGCTGTGGGATGGTTGTGTTCTTGAGAGGATTAGGGAAGGGGGGGGGCATGGAGAGATGGTCGGACGGGTGGATGGCTCGGAACCCTCAGTGCCTTTCTCCAGAGTGATTTTTGGAAACTCTAAAGAATTCCCAGAGCCGTCAATCCTTGCATCAATCGTGTGATATACCGTGTGTGTCACAGAATATGTATCATGTATTTGCATCATGCATCACGCTGCTAAATCTCAGTCTCCTCTACGTACCCTTCTCCATTCCACCCCCCACATGCCTTGCTGCATTTATGTTGCAAATGCGTCTCAGAGAAGACTTTTGAGTCGACTCAAAAGTCATACCCTTCTCCATTCCACCCCCCACATGCCTTGCTGCATGTCTGTTGCAAATGCGTCTCAGAGAAGACTTTTGAGTCGACTCAAAAGTCATACCCTTCTCCATTCCACCCCCCACATGCCTTGCTGCATGTCTGTTGCAAATGCGTCTCAGAGAAGACTTTTGAGTCGACTCAAAAGTCATACCCTTCTCCATTCCACCCCCCACATGCCTTGCTGCATGTCTGTTGCAAATGCGTCTCAGAGAAGACTTTTGAGTCGACTCAAAAGTCATACCCTTCTCCATTCCACCCCCCACATGCCTTGCTGCATGTCTGTTGCAAATGCGTCTCAGAGAATATACGGCTTCGCTACGTGTCTCTGCATCGGCATCTTATGCACGCTCATGGTAACCGCCTTCCTTTTGTAGACTGACTGCTTTTGTGTGGTAACCGCCTTCCTGTGGTAGCTGGTAACGATGGTAACCATTTACAACACCCACCTTCCGATGGTATATGGCTTCGCCACTGGTCTCTGCATCAGCATCTTCTGCACGCTTATGGTAACCACATTTCCACCTTCACTTGTTGATCGCCTTTGTGTGGTCTCCTTTCGATAACCGAATTCATCGCCCATCAAGTTCTGTCTTGCCTCCCACTCCCAGGCACTCAGCTTTCCCATAACCGTCTCCTGCTCCCCCATGCCCCTTCTCTCCTTCTGATCCCAACGCCAGTCCATTCTTGTGTTTCCATCTTCCATCTAGCTCATATCCCCCACTCCCAGCCACACAACGTCCCTCTTTCCCCTTACCCCCCGTCCACTCCCCCTTCAACTCCCTCACCTATCCCAACACCAGTCTATTCTTGTGTTCCCATCGCCCGTTAAATTCGCTCTCACCTACTCACAGCCACTCAACTTCCCACCCCCCACCCCTCCTCCCTCCTTCCCCTCCCCCTTCTCCCCACCCCTCTACCCCACCTATCCCAACGCCATTCTATTCTTGTGTTCCCATCGCTCATCTCATTCGCTCTCACCTACTCACAGCCACTCAACTTCCCACCCCCCACCCCTCGCCCCTCCTTCCCCTCTCCCTTCTCCCACCCCTCTACCCCACCTATCCCAACGCCATTCTATTCTTGTGTTCCCATCGCTCATCTCATTCGCTCTCACCTACTCACAACCACTCAACTTCCCACCCCCCACCCCTCGCCCCTCCTTCCCCTCTCCCTTCTCCCCACCCCTCTACCCCACCTATCCCAACGCCATTCTATTCTTGTGTTCCCATCGCTCATCTCATTCGCTCTCACCTACTCACAACCACTCAACTTCCCACCCCCCACCCCTCGCCCCTCCTTCCCCTCTCCCTTCTCCCCACCCCTCTACCCCACCTATCCCAACGCCATTCTATTCTTGTGTTCCCATCGCTCATCTAATTCGCTCTCACCTACTCATAGCCACTCAACTTCCCATCCCCCACCCCTCCCCCCTCCTTCCCCTCTCCCTTCTCCCCACCCCTCTACCCCACCTATCCCAACGCCAGTCCATTCTTGTGTTCCCATCGCCCATCAAGCTTAGTCTCTCCTTCTCCTCCACACCTTCCCTCCCCACTGATCCCAACGCCAGTCTATTCTTGTGTTCCCATCGCCCATCAAGCTTAGTCTCTCCTTCTCCTCCACACCTTCCCTCCCCACTGATCCCAACGCCAGTCTATTCTTGTGTTCCCACATCCCATCAAATTCGCTCTCACCTACTCGATCGGCAACCTCATGGCCATTGGCAGGTGAGAGGGTGAGGTGCGGTGCGGTGAGATGAGGTGAGGTCAGGTGAGGTGAGGTCAGGTGATGTGAGGT